AAAGATCAAGAGACATGTAGGGCAAGGTATAACAGAAGGGGCAGGGAGCTTCCCACTGTCCCTAGGGTGCCATCCTACAAGAACCTCCATGTGGTCAGCTACGCGGAAGCTCTCCAAACCCAGTCCTCTTGGGTTTTGGTTTTTTTTTTTCTGAGACGGAGTCTCATTCTGTCGCCAGGCTGGAGTGCAGTGGCATGATCTCGGCTCACTACGACCTCCACTTGCTGGGTTCAAGCGATTCTCTTGCCTCAGCCTCCCGACTAGCTGGGAGTACAGGCGTGTGCCACCACAGTGAATTTTTGTGTTTTTAGTAGAGACCGGGTTTTACCCATGTTGGCCAGATGGTCTCATCTGTTGAGCTCATGATCCACCTGCCTTGGTCTCCCAAAGTGCTAGGATTACAGGCGTGAGCCACAGCACCTGACCCCTCCTCTTGGGTTTTTAAGGAGGCTTTAAGACAGCCGCATTATGCATGGCCTTCTCTGAAAAGCTCTTAGGACCCACAGGAAGGTGGGGAAGAGAAGAGTCCTGCCCTGGGGCAGGAAGAGGAGGGCAGCCGGAGGTCAAAGAGATTCTGTTTCTTGAGACCTGCCCCTAAGGCCTAAGGCGCACAACATTATAACAAGAGACTGTAACAAAAGCTATGGGAGTTGAGCCAGGAACTGTGGATGAAAACCAATATATTTATACATATAACACCACAGCAAGCCTCCAAAGTGGCAGTTAGGGACAGGGAGTATTTGTATAACAGTGATACACCAATCAATCTGGAAGTATTTTAATATTTAAACAACTGGTATGGCTGCACGGGTTTGTGACTATCATCCTTAGTTCTGTATAAATTGGCAAGCTAGTGTCTATAGCTGTGTAGCACCAAGCAAATAACTAAACTTCTCTAGCCTGTTTCCTTCTCTATAACAAAGGGGCTTCCATGGCCGGGCGCGGTGGCACACGCAAGTCCAGCACTTTGGGAGGCCGAGGTGGGTGGATCACGAGTTCAGAAGATCGAGACCAGCCTGGCCAACATGATGAAACCCCATCTCTACTAAAAAAAAAAAAAAAAAAAACAAAAAATTAGCCGAGTGTGGTGGTGCGCCCCTGTAGTCCCAGCTACTTGGGAAGCGGAGGCGGGAGAACTGCTTGAACCCAGGAGGTGGAGGTTGCAGTGAGCGAGCCGTTATCTGGCCACAACTATGTTCCATGTGATACTTGGGACGTACTTTTCTTTTCTTTTTTTTTTTTTTGAGACGGAGTTTCGCTCTTGTTACCCAGGCTGGAGTGCAATGGCGAGATCTCGACTCACCGCAACCTCTGCCTCCCGGGTTCAGGCAATTCTCCTGCCCCAGCCTCCTGAGTCGCTGGGATTACAGGCACGCGCCACCATGCCCAGCTAATTTTTTGTATTTTTAGTAGAGACGGGGTTTCACCATGTTGACCAGGATGGTCTCGATCTCTTGACCTCGTGATCCACCCGCCTCGGCCTCCCAAAGTGCTGGGATTACAGGCTTGAGCCACCGCGCCCGGCCCGTACTTTTCTAAAAGGCTGTATCTTTTGGATATAATTGTTTATCTGAAATTCAAATTTAGGCATTGTATATTTTATATGGCAACCATACGCCTGCAGCAATCAAGTCGTCCCATTAAGTTACCAAGAGTCAGTGTCCATCAGCCTACACTTTTCCAAGCCCATATCACACAAGACCTCTTCCAGATATTTCAGATGTCAGGTAGGGCCATCACTTGGTTCACAAGTCCCACTCCTACCACGCCTAGGGCAGCCAAACTGAAAGGCAAACAGTGCTGGAGATCCCACAATGCCCTGAGCCTGTAGCAGCCAATTCCCAAGATGCCCCGCGTAAAAACAATAGGCACCCGTACCAATGCTCGGGCAATGAGACCACGGCAAAACCTTCCACTACGGGACAATAAGGGCCAGTTCCCACAATTCCTGTGGCAGTTCTTCCCAAGATGCCTTGGGCCTATAGCGACCACCTTCCCAGACTCCCCGTGTGGAAACGCTCCAAGCCTCTAGGACGGTCAGCGGCAGGTGTGGGATAAAAGAAACCGGTTTCCCACAAGGATCTGGGACACTTCTTCCCAGGATGCACCAGGCCTACAACGACTAGCGGACCGACTCCCACAGCGCTTCAAGGCGGAGCGCTCGGTTCTCCCAGGATGCCCCAGGGCGGCACAGCCGCGCTGGGGGAGAAAAGGAAGCCTGGGTCTTGCCCTCGGGTCACGACGGTCCCAGACCGCCGCAGGCTCCCCGGTGACGGGAGTTGTGGCTCCCATCATGCAGCGGGGCCGTAGCGCCCGCTTCCCGGCATGCCCCGCGCACCCCTGTCCCGGACACTCACCGGCGCCGGCGGCCCCCGCTCCGGCTCTGCGGCGGCGGCTGCACGCCCAGCCTCTGCGCCTGCGCCGCAAATAGGGTAGGAGAGCGCGTGAAGAGCCTAGGGCGCTTGCGCGGCGAGTTGGACTAGTCCTGTAACGCTGTTGGAAGAGGGGCTGTGTGAGTCGGACCGTCGACGAGACCCGCCCGGGGGGCGCTGTGCTTTGCCCCTCACTGCCTGGGTTTACTTGGTACAGTCCGCGGCACGAAGGAACAAGAAAGAAGCTGAAGGGTTCGCGCGTGCGTGTGTGGGGCAGGAACGCGCCTTATAAAATATGGGATGCGCTGCGGGTGGAGGGTGCTAGTTCGGACTGGATCGTGGGCCCGAGGCCTGCTTATTTGCATAATCCTAGTGCGGGACAATGAAAGGCCTCCCGCACTGGAAGGAGTGATTTGCATATTCCCCGGAGGGGCCTTACTCCTGAGCGCAGTGATTAGCATATGGCGGGGGCAACAGAGCAAAGCGCATGCGCGCAGGGACTGCGGACTAATGTGAAGTGGGTAGCCTTGACTTCGTTGGGCATCAGTTTGCATACTGAGAGAGGGCACGAGGGCCAGGACCCCTCCCAACCAGGACAAATGTTTATTGATCTCCTAGGTGTCAGGCCATGTGCTGTCGGGCTCTTTGGTTTCTGCAGTGAAGGAGACACACCCTGCGCCTGTATTCAAGGTGCCCCAGCGGAAGGAGATATACACCTAATTAGATAGCTACTAACCATAAGGTCAGACCTGGAGTGAGGAAGACGGGGGACTTTAGGAGCCTAAGAGGCACCTGCCCCTGCCTATGATTCTTGAAAGGCTGGCTTCCAGGCGGTAGGAACCAACTAGAATGGCAATCATTCTGGCAGAGTGAACAACAGCAAGCGCCAAGGCCCAGAGGCCAAAAATAATGAAAAAAGTACAAAAAGTAGCCAGGGATGGTGGTAGGCGCCTGTAATCCCTGCTACTAGGAGACTGAGGCACGAGGACCACTTGAACCCCAGAGGCAGAGGTTGCAGTGAGCCGAGATTGAGCCACTGCAATCCAGCCTGGGTGGTGGCAGGTTTGATTGAGGAAGAAAGAGCATCTTAGTATGCCTAGAACACAGCTGGAGAGGGGAATTGCTCCTATAGACTAACTCTCGAGTTCAACTGTGACAACATTCCAGTCTTTCTGGAAGCGACTTTGTCACATTCCAGCTTAAAACTCCCCAAAGGGATCCCATTAAGAAAAAAATCCAAAATCTTTATCATCTCCCCGGGGCTATGCACCTGGTCCTGCCAGCTAATTTTTCTGACCCCACCCACTTCCTCCTCCTTCCACTCCTCTCCTGCTCCACTTTGCCCCAAACTCTCTTTACCATCTCAGGCCTTTGCTCTTGCCACTCCCTCCGCCTGAAAATGGTTTTCCCTCTGAGCTCTAAATACCCGCTCTTGTGCTCACCGTTCATATCTTGGCACAGATGTCAATCTCAGAGGCTTTTCCTGATCTCTCTGTAATAGCACTTACACATTTGACTAGGGTTATGGATAAATTGGGATTGATGAGTTGGTGCTGGTTGTAACTGGCATGAAGAGTACAGGGGGCCTGGCATGTCTGCTCACGCCTGTAATCCCAGCAGTTTGGGAGGCTGAGGCGGGCAGATCACCTGAGGTCAGGAGGTTGAGACCAGCCTGGGCAATATGGTGAAACACCACCTCTATTAAAGGTACAAAAATTAGCCAGGGTGGTTTCGGGCATTTGCAATTCTTGCTGCTCAGGAGGCTGAGGCACAAGTATCACTTGAACCCTGGAGAGGGAGAGGTTGCAGTGAGCCGAGATTGAGCCATTGCACTCCAGCCCGGGCCACCCATCGAGACTCTGTCTCAAAAAAAAAAAAAAGAGTACATGGGACTTTATTGTCCTGTCTACTCCTGTGGGTTTGAAGTTTTCCACAGTGACAGTGGCACACCATATATCCATACTCTGCATTTATATTAATAGTTCTTATCACAGTCTGAACTGTGTTTGCTTCCTTGCTTTGAGTGTTTTCCTCATGTAAGCTTCATGAGGGTAAGAATGGAGTTGCCCTTTTTCACTTTGGGTTCTCAGTGCTTACAGCAGGATCAGATTTCAGACTAGTACAGAGCTGTCTTAACACCTAATATTTGCCTGTTTTATTCACCATGGACCTAGAACTTTGAGCAGCACCTGGAACATTATAAGAGGTTATTTTTTAATCTAAAGTTAGAATAATACATCTAAAATGTACATGAATGAATGAGAGGCCTGGGATGACTTGGTCTAGAGGTGATGGGGAGCTAGGTGAAGGTTTTGATAGCTTGACTTTAATTGAGAGTTCCCATGGAGCCTCATGTCTGGGGTAGGGGGAAGCCAGGGTAAGGGTCTGAGCCATGGGATGGGGTAGCTCAGTAGCTATCAAAGAGATGAGACTCCATGACTATTTGGCTGAATAAGTGGCCAAACCCAGGTTTCTTGGGAGGTCGAGGTGCCCTCAATGAGGTCAGGATCTTCTCCTGGCCGGTACTGTCCACTAGCAACCATCACACTCCCCTCTCCCCTCTCCTTTAGTTCCCCTCCCAATGCTACAGCCCTTGACAGCAGGACAGACACACGGCCACCCCAGGCACTTGTTCTCTCCTCAGTTTAATGGTGGTTAGTGAGATTGCCAAATCCCCTCCCCATTTCCCTCCCTGCCCCATACAAAATGTGTGTGTGGTTTTTTGTTTTTTGTTTTTGTTTTTTTAACAAAGGGGGCAAAAGCCAGGAATGGGGAGGGGGGGTGCAATCTGATATTTTCATACAGATTTTTGATTTTTTAATATATTATATATAAAACCATAGAGACCATGTATCCTCCCCAAATTCCTTTCCCCCTCCCCGGGGGGGCCTGGAGGAGAGATGGGGAAGGCCCCCCCAGGAGTGGGTGGAGAGACAAATATGGATGGGACAGACGTTGGGGGAGAAGGTAGAGAGAAGGGGAGTCCAGGAACCTGGAGAAGGGGGTTTGGAGAAAAGGGTTGGGGTTGTCTCCCTCACTGCCCCCATCAAAGTTATGACACAAAGACACAGAATCCCTGTTTCCATGCCCTCCCCCCACCCATCCCCCCACCGTGCAAACATGGCTTTGCAAAGAGGTGCCCAGAGCTCTGTGGAACTCTTAACAATGGCTGGCATGGGGTCTAGGACCCCCAAAGAAATCTGTGTTCCCCTTCCCTGCCCACCCCACCCTTCCCAGAAACTGACCCCCTCCCCACAAGACCTGGTTTTGTAGCCTAGGGGCCCTAGCCTTCCCCCAGTTATCTTTTCCCAACCCAGTCCCTACTGCCCTCCCTGGACTTGGGGGATCTGGACCTTTGGCCCTTGCCCCCTGGGGGACCCAGACCTCTGGGCTCTCACTTCTGGCCCTTACAGAGATCCAGGCATCCAACACCCCCATCCCTGCCCAAGTGTCTGAGGTGTTAGTGGTGGGGGGAGAAGCCCACCATCCCAGACTCTGGTAAATGTCTTTGCTGGTTCCTTGCAGCTGGCAGTGGAGGGGACCCCAGCCCAGGCCCAGGCCTAGGCCTGGGGTGGGGGTAGGGTCAGATGAAGAATTCCTCTTTCCTCTTGTGTCCATCGCTGCCGTTGAGGAAGGCTTCTCTTGCTTCTCCCTGTTCATCCAAGCCACTGGCTTCGTGGGTCAAATAGGAACCTGAGGAGGTGACAGATCCCCAGGGCAGGGGGGACATATTTGAGGATCCAAGAGTTGGACAGAAATATAGGGGAAGCGGGAAACAGACAAGACAGATGCCAGACGAAGGAAGAGGGAGAAACAGAACACACAGGGAGAGGCAGAGAAAGAGGTAAACAGTGGCAGAGAAAGGGGTAAAAGCAGAATTAGGAGGACTCCAAAAGCTCACAGAAAGTGCCACCATTATCCCTTCTCTCTGTCTTTTTTTTTTTTTTTTTTTTAGACGGAGTTTCACCATGTTGGCCAGGCTGGTCTTGAACTCCTGACCTTAGGTGATCCGCCTGCCTTGGCCTCCCAAAGTGCTGAGATTACAGGCGTGAGCCACCGTGCCTGGCTGCATTATCCCTTCTTTTGGAGGTATCCCCTTGCCCTGCTCCCAACGAATTCGCAATTAGGAAGATAAATTGTTTTATTCAAATCCATGCTGTTTTTTTCCTAATTTTTTGTACTTTTAGTAGAAAAGGGGTTTCGCCATGGTGCCCACGCTGGTCTCGAACTCTTGGCCTCCTAAAGTGCTGGGATTACAGGCGTGAACCACCGCGTTGCCCAGCCACAAACTGATGCTCTGAATTCAGCTTCTAAATTCTAACCTTTTTCGAGTCATGTGCCGAAAGCCCCGCCCCCTTTGTAATCTTGGCCGCAGGGGCAGCAGGATTTGGAATCCAGAGCCTAGGTTCCGCCCCCTCGTCACCCTGCCTCTATCCGATCCCCACAATCAACCAACCGCTGAGTCCAGGCCCCGCCCCACTCACCCTTCTGCCGTACCGAGCACCAGACCATGCCCACTAGCACACATATGATCAGAAACACCAGCAGCGCCAGGATGCCGCCCACAATGGCATAGGGAACCGACGTCTGAGCTTCTACCACCGCACCGGGATCTGCCAGAGGGACAGGGTGCAGGACTAGGTCATCAGAGGGCGGTCCCAGTCTGGCCCCATCCCTGCCAAGCTTTCAAGCCATTCTGCACAGGTCTAACCGTGCCCTTTTATGTGCCACGCCCCTCAAAAATTACTGCCACCTTATAGTCCCTTCCTTTTCCAGATGCTTGTTGGTTTGTACACTGCCCGACCCCTTCCCTGAGTCATGTTGCATCTTCCTTTTCTTTTTCTTGTTTACTTCTGCAGAGACGGGTTGGGGTGGGGGGAGAAGTCTCGCTGTGAGGCCCAGGCTGGTCTCAAACTCCTGGGCTCAAGCGATCCTCTGGCCTAAGCCTCCCAAAATGCTGGGATTACAGGCGTGAGCACACAGCCATCCCTTTTCTTTTGACTCAAGTTTCTTCCTCCACTTTGAAACAGAGTCCAAGAAACAGGTCCAAGTCCCTTCCCACCTTGTCTAAGACGCTCCAAGTATTTAAAGTGCTGGGCCCGACTACTTCCAAAATTTCTGCCCCATCGTCATAGAGCTAAACACACAACAGCTGTGTGCTAGAGGCCATTCCAACCACTTTACATATTTAGCTCATATAACCTTCACAACAGCCTTGTGACGTAGATGCTATTATTTGTTTCCACTTTACTGATGGGTAAACTAAGGCTCAGACAGGTTCGGTTATCTGCAGTAGAATGCGGCCAACCCGAATTTGTGCCCCGCTGGCCAGTCTGTCCCAAAACGACAAGAACTCTGTTGGCTACGGACCCCCTGAGTTACGCGGCATCTTTGCCCAAGCTCCACCCCCACCGCCTGGCGCTCCACCCCCACCGCCTGGCGCCCCACCCCCACCGCCTGGCGCCCTGATCCCGGACCGCAAGTCGGCCGCAGCCTGCCCTCACCGTAGACCACGAGTACATAGAGCGCCCTCGCATGGCCGTGCTTATTGGACGCCTCGCAAGTGTAGGTGCCGTTATCCGCGGACACCAGACCCGGCAGCGTGAGCGTCTCTCCCACGGCCTCCGCTCTCTCCGGCAAAGACTCATTCCCGCGGTTCCAGCGGATCTGGTTTGGCCTGGGTGGGGATAAAGTATAGTGAAAGGAACTCAGGTGCCAGCACCCAATTCTGACTTGTCAGGAATCTAGACATGTAACTCTCACCCCACAGGGACCTCCAAATAAGAGGCTTCCTGCTGTCTCTCCTTTCGGGAAAACCAACAGTCCTGGGCCCACTTCCACCATCACTACGGTCTCAGGAATTCTAGCCCAGGCTGATCATGGTGGCTCATGCCTGCAATCACAGCATTTTAGGAGGCTGAGGCAGGAGGGTCGCTTGAGGCCAGCAGTTCCAGACCAGCCTGGGCAACTTAGGGAGACCCTGTCACTACAATTAAAAAAAA